CACAGGGAAAAATATTGGATAAAAGTTTTTTTCCTGAGAAAATTTATAGATGAGAGTTTATATAAAATTTTTAACATTTTATCATGAAACTAAAATTTTCATATGTAATTTATATATAAATAAATCTGTCTATATATACATAATTCTATATATACTTTATATGTAAAAATATTTTGAGCACTACTTGCGAAAATTTGCGCAAGTTTTTTGTACGTTTTTTCAACTTCGCTCGCGATTTTCTACTAAGGTATTTCTATTGTTCTTAGCATTAGCTACAAAATAGTATGTGTTCCCGTTTAAAGAAAAACTATTGTGAAAAAATTATGCGCAAAATTTTCGCTGTGAAAATTTCCACGATTTTTTTTTACAACTATTTTTATTTAAACCGTACGATCTCCGCGAATATCGATGATACAGGAATGAAAAATAAATCATTTTGTAGCTAAGAACAATGCCGTTCTATCTATCTTAGAAATTTCATAGTAGAAAATCGTTCTAAACTTCAAAAATCGCGAGCGAAGTCAAAAAGAATAAAAAACGAAAATCATCCGTTTGTGTCGAAAATCTCCGTTGATCATTATGCGAGAGTTAGTTAACACATGTATGTGAAGTTTAATCCTGATGCATTGTAAATCTTATCATTATATGGATGCATATCGTAAAGGACTCCCAGACAAGCATAAAAAGCATAGAATAAAATAAATATATAATTTTTTTTTTTTTACCTGATCATATAATATTACCACATGAAATTTGGCCACTATATTTAAAATTTGATGTAACTAGGGTGCTTAGCTTGTACATATTAAAAAATAGCTTACACTTACCCGCTTACCTGAAATTTTACTTCGATCAAAATTGGACAACAAAAAAATTTATAATCTACACATGTCGCATTTTCCATAAAAATGTTATTTGTATGACTCAAGGAAAACAAAAATAAAATTCAATGATATCAAATGTAGTATTTGAAATTCAAATTTTAAATCCTATGATTGTGCGGAAGTCTTTTTTTTATGTCCGGAGTTAACGAATTTCTGATCAGAACTACATAAATCTTATTGGTTCCCTCATAATCCATATGCATAACAATAATTAATTGAATTTATCATTGATATATGTTTGTTTTTTAACAACAAATTTTTATTTTTTTTATATAAGGATGAGGTAAGTTTTTTCTGCTAATTAGCTTCGAAATGATTAAATTTTATTCATTCCTTTCCTTTAACACCTTTTCAATCTTTATCGTCATCTATTTCTTTCTAATATCAACCTCCCATGCATTTAAAACCCAAGATCCTTCATGTCCGAACTCTGTAGCCACTCGGCAAGAAAAAGATTCTAAAATAACCGTTGGATACGTTGATGGTTACAATTTTAATTACAATTTCAAACCTTCGGAGTTACCATGGAATATTACTTATATGAATTGGATCGGTATGAAATGTTAAAATATTTTTTTCCCTTAAATATGCTATTTCTGTATTTTTACATATGCCATATCCCCGTATGATAGCATTTGAACCAAGCAGTGAATCGAATAAAAAAATACCTATTTCGGACTCTCATACTTATTTAAACAAGACGGTGCAATACAGAAATGTCAATAAAATAAGTACCAAAGTATGATAGCGCCAATTAAGAAGTCTTTATATTTGCGATGAAATAATCTCGCTCACAAGTCATTTTCATTTTCACAGATATTTCTATCGATTGTTTTATCAGGGAATCTCTACATAAATAATGTATATGGATATGGATATGGATATGGATATTCATATGGAAACAAAGAACCGTTTGCGAGCAATAAAACCGAACGTGATTCATTCGTCAGCAATGTTATAAATTTTGTTCATAAATTTGAATTGGATGGGGTATGTTAAAGTATTTATTATTTACTGCTATTGATCTGATTTCATTTCGATTCAAGGGTTTAAAAGGTTTAAATTCTTGTCTCATTTATCATTATCATAGGTTGATCTTGAATATCCTGATAGATACGGTTGCGGAAAATGGAATAATTCTGAAAATTTCATTCCGTTAGTAGATGAACTATCATCCGCTTTAAAAGTCATCAACAAAACGTTTTCAATAACCGTTGGAAATAACCCAATCCAAGGGTTAAATATCAATTCAATTGAATTCATAAATGTCATGGTGAGATATCATTGATTAATGATTTTGTTTGTTTTAATGATTTCTTTCTAATGAAAAATTATGCTTGTCATCATAGCCATTTCGGCAAAACGAAATATCTAACACGACCGGTCCAAGCATCACACTTGACCAAATTTCGGATACCATGGATGGTTGGAGTAAAACTGTGGAATCAAAAAAACTTATTCTGGGTGTTTCATTGTATGGCGTCATTGAATTAACCATGCCAATGGAAGGTAGCCTTGAGAGTAACAGAACGGTTCCGCTTGATACTACTGCTAATATTAAATATTCTGTCTTTGACTCGTACTCGTATAGTACATCATCTTATTACGACACATGTTCCTTTTTGGAGGTCGATTATCTGAATTTGGGTTCTTGTGCGGTGATTAGGTCGAAAAATGGCCCACTATCAAGTTCTTGTACTGCACAAAACGGATGGACTCGCGTATTTGATGACAATGTTAAATCCACATATCTTTATAAGGTTTATAATACCTCAGTAGTGGTAGGTTCTCCAAATCCGCTTACCACGTATTACTATGTTACTTATGAGGATTCCCAATCAATTCAACATAAGTTAAAATTGATAATAGATAAATCATATGGTGGGATTGCACTTTATGGTTTGGGGGATAGTTGTGACGATATAATTAGTTCAGTTGACTCTATCTTTACGCTCGAAGGATTTGATCCTCCTAAATCTGGCATGAGTACTTTATCTATTATCCTCGTTGTAATAGGATGTATAATCTTTATTGTTATCGCTGGAGGAGGAGGAACGATTTATGTTGATAAACGTGGAAGAAAGTACGTTAGAAAATATTGTTAGGTTTGTACAGGATTAAAGAGCGTGTGGACTCTTTTAATACGGTTACATCATTTACACCTATTGTATTTTATTATCGCATTTACTTTAAGAATTCAATTTCAATAATGTATTTAAAATAGACATTTATAAATATATTTTTCTTTAATTGTAATCAAACATAAATAAATAAATAATAGAAAAAAAATATAAAACCAAAGAAAGTCGTACTCCGCACCTAAATTATAACACAATAATAAAAATATGCAAGATAGAGAATAATGAAATTTTGTTTTTATAAGACCAATAAAGTCCTTATCTGGAAAAATAAGGAATACAAACGAAACAAATAATTGAATTAATTTTAGTTGTTATATAAGATTGAAATTTTCTTTTCATATGAGAGGATTTGTGACAAAATTAGAAAAAAACCCCTCTGTTCGATTTGGTTTCTGTTTATATGAAAACTGACCAGGTTAAACCCACATAATCAATCTTAAACATTTAAATTTACAATAACAAGCTGTGGCCGGAATCTAGAAAAAAATACTAAATTGAAATATTCAAAAATTTCAGGGATAATTAATTTTCAAATTAAAAGAATATTTTCCATAGTTATAATCCACATAACTATCCCATAATTACCATGGCAAGAGTTACTACAAATTTCGTAAATAAATACAATCTAACTCCTCAGATAAATATAGCAATTATACTGAAGAATTGCTTTAAGATTTGAAAGGCAGTTATTGCGAAATTATATGCCAATTCATTTATTTCTTCATTTTCTTTAATATGCTGAGCAAGTTCTTTAGTGGATTATTTTTTTATAATTCAATAAATTTATGCCATACAGAATGTGAATATAAATAATATGAAGGCTATTTCTAAGAACTTTCTTATTTATAATTTAATTTATAATTTTGATATGTTCTCTAGCCACACTTTCACCATCAATAAACTTCAAAAAGGATGCTTTTCCTTCTTTATTATTATTATTATTCTCATTATCATAAACATTATTATTATTATACCTCTACGTTCGGAAGATTTTTGTTAATTAGAAGAAAATGTACAGTTTTGACATATCTGATAGTCAAATTTTTTATTAAACTATAATGGGAAAATACCAGTTGTTTGGTTGAAGTTTTAATTTTAAAATGGTAACAATGAATTTTATTACTAATTAAACGCCAACGCGAAATAATAATATATTTAATAATCAGATATAAAAATATAATGATAATTGATAATCAATATAGTATGTGAAAATGTTTAAGGATATTTGAGCCCTGGAAATAAAAATTAACTATTTATCATGTTTTAATCAGGAATACACTTAATTCAGATGATCAGATTCTAAGCAGCAGCAGTATTAACATATTAATTAATACGGCTTGTCCAGGCTGATTTCTCTTTTTTATTTTTTTTTCAAAAACTTTACAGATTAATTTAAAGAAAATGAATAATGAATTTACAGCATTAAATGTTGGGCAAGAACCTGCGATTGTTTTAATTGGAATTAAAGGTCATCTGAAATACTGTTTATTTTTGTAATTACACTTGGGAATTTAGAATGAAATTCATATTTCCTGTTTTAATAAATTTAGGAGTAGGTAAAAGTACAGTTGGAAACATGTTATCGGGTGCATATACAGAATATAATGTAAAAGAAAGATTCGAAGTTCATGATGAAAGTGATGACGATAATGTAGTATTATTTTTTTATATTGCAATTCATTTTAAATATTTTATTTTATTTTATGATATTAATCATATTTTTTAAAAAAAAATATAGATATCTAAAATCTTTTGTGAAGAAACAGAAATTGAAATAAAAGATAAGAAATATACATTGATAGATACACCTGGAAAGGAAAGTTGGAAACAAATTAATGATTATTTAAATGAGAAAGTTAAGAAAATTCATAGGGTTCATGCTTACCTTTTAGTTTATGGTAATATTTTTTCTATTACGGACTTATAAAATTTATAAATTTGTTATATTCGTTATTAATAGTTTGTTTATTTTAGCTGAAATGCGTCTTACACCAGCCAATAAACATCACATCGAATCGGCTATTAAAGACCTGGGTAAACGTCGTTTAATAATAGTATTTACAAAACAACGTAAAGAAGCGACAGAAGAACGAGCTATAATGGAGAAAAACTTTAATGATGACTTTAAATCAATTCTTCGCTCCATTAATGATCGTTGGGTGGTGGCACCAAATCTGGATATTTTTGGAAATGAAGATGGTAAAAAAGTTATTAAAAATAATATGGAAAAACTAAAAGAATTCATTAGCGAGATTGAAAGGCCTCATAAAACTTGGTGGCGTTGGTGGTACCTTGTTGTGGCAACGGGAGGAGTTATTGTGCTTGTGCTTGTTGTTATTGTCATTAAAAGTAAAATATTAATGAATGAAGGTAAAAGTTGAGAAATTCTTCAATTACAGTCTTCCTTCATTTTTATAAAATTGATAATTCTGTAAATATTTTAATTAAAATTATGAGTTGGTGTAAAAAATATTTTTACATGTTATCTATGTTTATATAGAATTTATATATAAAATTATGTATATATAGACAGATTTATTTATATATAAATTACATGTGAAAATTTTAATTATCAGTTAATTTTATATAAACTCTCATCTATAAATTTTCTCTAGAAAAAAAACTTTTATCCTATATTTTTCCCTGTA